TTTTTGTATTAATTTACTACCTGAAGTCTGGAGGCCATGTCACCAAATTAGGAAAATACTTTATCTGTGCTCATTGAAAACACAAGTCATGGTTGTTCTTTTTGACATTTTTAGTGCCAAATCACAACATACATTATCTAAAGGGATTTACATAGTAAGGTCGAAATCTTGCAAAATTATAGGAAAACACAAACATTCCCTTTGACTGATTGGGGTAAGTGGAAAAGAGAGCGCACAAACTATGAGAGGGAAAAAACAAAGTTAATGGTATGTTGTAAAATAAATGGGGTGACATAGAGAGAGGGAGAGATAAGTGCTCAGTGCATGAGGGGAGTTCCTCCAGCAGTCTAGGCCCATAGCAGCTATATGCCTCGACTAAGGAATGATTCAAAACTCACTTGAGCCAGCCCTATACTATGAGCTTTATTGAAAAGGGAGTGGGAGCTGGTTCCACAGAGGAGGAGCCTGGTATCTGAAGGTTCCCCCCCCTATTCTACTCTTATACATTCTAGGAACAACAAGTGAACTTGTATTAAAGGTTCAGTGTGTAGAATTTAATAGTGAAGTTGCATGTTCCAGCTGAATACACCTCACACTCGCATTCCCAAAAAAAAAAAAATCAGTTGTAGCGTTCAATTTTCATGAAAACTCCAATGGTGTTTAGTTTGTCCATTTTCGAAGACTGTTAAAAAAAATACGGTGGCCTCCGTAGAGAGGATCCGCTCCTGATGTAAATATAAAGTATGTACAGTAAATATAAAGGGCCCATTCTATAGGGTAAAGAAAACAACAATTCATGCAATTAGATGATTACTCACTAGGATTATTTTATATCAAATTTCTGCCAATAGATCCCTAAATCTTACACACTGGACTTTTAAGGGAGAGAAGTGATATTGGGATAATACAGTGGCATGAGCACTTAAATATTGAATGGGGCAAGATTATTATTAGCAATAAACAATATATTGCGGAAAGTAAACCAAATACACATATGGTATCTTATTTATTATTTTCCAAAATAGTTGCGTGCATGAAAAGCTGTTTCAGGAAAAAAGGAATATTGTGCAATGAAGCAAGTTTGCAAAAGTTAAGAGAAGGACAAAGGGAGAAGGGACGGGACTAAAACATTTCGTTTTTCTCTGTGAATGAACAAAAGCTAGTTACGGGGTTAGAGGTTGTAAGTGTAAGACATGTAACATTTGTGATGGATATATGTGCATGTACAAAAAAGGGTGAGTTTGGCTAATAATGCCATTTGCTAACAGATGTGTCCAGATGCTGTATATGAGTGAAAAAAATGATCAGACGGACTTGATCAAAATTTTTACAAGGATTTTATCAACAATGTTGAAATTTAGATCCCAAGACTTTTACGTATTTTTGTGTAAGACAGATATTATTTTTTTCAATTTCTATGAATTCTACGGGAATATATAACCAGTGATAGATTTGTATTGTTAGTTTTGTGTTTTTGTGGTGTAGTTATAAGTTTATAGCTTTGTGGAGGTCTTGTTGTGGGCTGCAAGCCATGAGATAATTAATAATAAATAGTAATTGCTGTATATTTTGTTGTTTGAGTCAAAGTAAATGGATAAACCAGATGAATGAATACATTCACTAAAATCAGTCGATGTGGCAGACTTGGTGCCAGGCTATTCTAACTCTAAAAAACTGTTTAATCCAATATCTACTATACTATTGTTTTCATGTAAAAAGAAGAACTATTTATCAGCTAAATAATCAACAAAAGCGTAAAATATTTTGTCCCACACAACAGTTATTAGGCCAGCAATGACTAACTAACAATAGTNTTTATTTGTATAGTGCCAAAACATGACACACTATCTCAAGGCAATTTACATAATAAGTTTGTCATCTTCCAAAGTTATACGTATATACACAATGACCCAGCACTTTGGCAACTGTGGAGAAAAAAAACCTCATTAACAGATAGAAACCTCGAGTAGAACCAGACTCAATGTGTGCGGTCATCTCCCTTGACCGGTTGGGGTGAGCAGAGACAAATGGGGGAGAGAGAAGAGGTGGATAGAAAAGAGGAAAGAGAGGAGGAACAGATGTGTAATCGTAATAAAAAAATTATATTTATAGATGTAATGATGTTCTAAATGATAGCAGCACAATACTGAAACTATGGGAGGGGAAAAAACAAAGTAAGTGACATGTATAATAAATAGGTGGTTACAGAGAGATGGGGAGAGAAAGGTGCTCAGTGCATGATGGGAGTTTCCCCAGCTGAACTATAGCAGCATAACTAAGGGTTGGTTCAGGAGAAAGTATTGATCCTGATCCAGCGCTACTATAGGTTTTCTCGAAAAGGAACGTTTTAAGTCTAACCTGAATGTAAAGATGATGTTGACCTCCCCTTCTACTCGTGAGCCTGTATTCAGTAAGCAAAGCGATCAATTGGTACAATTTGGTGCTATGTACTTTCTAATATGTGATGGGGCTTTGTTGTTAAGGGCTTAGTCTGTGAGAACCAGTTGGAGGGTTTTCACAGACTTACTGGGACATCCTTATCAGTTTATGCTTTATTTGTGCACATCCATCCGTAAGCTTACCTTACTGTGGTTCGCTTTAACTTGGGCTCTGAAGGCTGTTTGAAAGTCAGCGCTTGTCTCCATGATTGCTCTCCAATGTTTGCTTACTGTGATCCTCTTCCTCTTTTCGTTCAATTCAACCGATTTATCCGTCTGATGCTTCTTTGACGCCTGTGTTATGTAGACAAAAATGTAGCGACTTCGTGAAAACATCCGTCTCTGAGAGGCTGAGGTAGGGCCTAATACATTAAATGACGCGCTGATCCGAAAATCACTGTGATCCGTAAATGCGTTTTTACTTTTATTAAAGAAAAAGGAAGATCCAATTATGTGTCCAACTCATAGATTCAACCAAACGAAAAAAAGCAGGTTGCGTAACGAAGTTTAGCGGTCAACAAAATATCCAGCGTCCCAACTCACCCTCTTTCCCTTCCTACACAGGTAAACAGGTGCTTAAACTATGACCCCCGCCCTTATCCTTATGACCTATTTCCTACCAAATTAATAGGATCACAAGTAAACAATAAATAACAA